CTTATTTAAATAAGTAAAGCAGGCTTTGCATCAGCAGCGCCCCAAACGAGCCAGGATGGGGAATCTTGATGGCCTTCAAATTCCACACTTGGGTTCTCCCCTCCAGGTCCCGACGGGTGGCTACACCTCCATCGACAACGTCCAGAGCCCCAGCAATCCGGAGCCCAGGGACAAAATGGAGAGTTTCTTCCTGGGCGAAACCCTCAAGTACTTTTTCCTGCTCTTCTCGGACGACGTGAACTTGATCAACCTGGACCAGTACATCTTCAACACGGAGGCCCACCCGCTCCCCATCTGGCCGTCGGCATAAAACCGAAGCCGGGCGTCTGCCGTTCCCAGGTTCGACCCCGTCCCGATTCCAGGGACCCGAAGGGAGGCGTCTAGCGGCATTCCTGGTGAAGGGGAGAATTCCCGGAGGAATTGTACCTGAGGGAAGGTGGGGAATCACCGCCCCCCTCTCTGAAAAGGGGCACCCACACAAGGACCGGGCAAGCAGGCCCCTGCCGTGCCAGATCCGGCCTGGCCTAAGGGGGAGTGCAGGACTCACTTTGGCCCAGGGAGCGCCTCAGAACTAGCAAGGAGGGGACCCCTATGGAGGCTCCAGCCTTCCTCCATTGCCTCCGTCCCGTTCAGTAGGAAAGGGTGCCCTTGTTCCCAGGTATCCCTCCCAGTGTCCCCGGGGCTTCCCAGGATCATTCCACGGCCGCAGGTAGGGGTGGGGGAAGGACGATGCTGTCCAGAGGAGACCCCTCCCCCTCCAAAACAGTGTTCAGTGCTGGCATCCTGATCCCCGGGGGCTCTTGGTGTCATCAGGGGAAGGAATTTGTGCCCCATGTGCAAACTGGGGAGGTTGGATGGGGTGGTAAATATATATCTATATCTAAATATATATATATTTTCTTAACTTATCTGCAGCAATGCAGGGAGAAAAATGTGAACATTTACATTATGAAAAAAAAAAACGGGAGGTTGTCTATGTAGGAATTTATATGTGCATAATATGAATAATGTCTTGGCTCAGGTATCCTTCCGAAAACTGCTTCCTGCATGGGGTCCTCTTCCAGCTTGGAGGCCCCAGGGGACTGTTGACCTTCACTTTGCAAGCATATTGGGGGGACGGGGGCTAGAGGGCAAGGAAGCAGCGGGTCACAGAGTCCTTATCCCCAGAGAGGATTCCTCCCGCTAAGGATTTCTGCCACGCCTCTTGTGCGTGAAAAGTTCCCCCTGGAAAGTTGGGCTTAAGAACCAAGCAACCTTCCCTCTCTGGCTTTTAACTACCAGCCACAGCGGAAGCTCATTTGCTCCTGCTTTACACGTTGTTGTTGTGAATTTTGTGTCTGTCTCCGAGTCAGGACAAGTGCAGCCTGCAGGGTGAGAGGCGATCTCCCTTTGCCAGGCTCTCTGGCCCTTTCATCCCCGTCCTTCCTGTCCATTCCAGCTTTCATGGCCCTCCCTCTTCCCAGTCGCTCAATCTCAGCACTTTAAAGTGGGGGCAGAGGGAAGAGTCCTGGGACAATCTTCCCCGGTTTTGGTGGGACTGTTATTTTGTGTATTTGGGGGCCTCCCAATACATGCTTGCTGCTGCTCACGGTGCACCAACCGCTTTAAATCCCGGCCCAGCAGAGGACAGGGAGACAAACTGGCATTGCCCATCTTGGCACAGAGCTGCACGAGGTTAATGGCACTGCTGGAGCTGCGGCAGGAGAAAGTGGGTTTCAGAGGGACCAGTGATCCTGCTTCTTCTTTGTGTGCCACCCTGACCCCCAAACAGAATGCATGTCTCCCAAGGCGGGGGCGTTTGGTGCTACCTAACCGGTGGGACGGTGCAGTGGCCAAGAGGCCGAATCAAGAAAACGGTGGCTCAGATCTCTTGGTGTGCACCTCGCACTCCGCTCCTCCCCCCCCCCCCCGCGATATCCCAAGGCCGGTGGCTCCCAGGAAGAGGGAGAACCAGATGCTTTGAACAGTTGAAGCACAACAGTATCCTAATGAGAAAAGATTTATTTCCAATCTTCTTACTGTAACTCTGGACTTCTGGAGAAATTCACTGTTGCCACGTTCTTATAAACGGTGTCTTGTTTGCTGTCGAGGCCACAAAGTCCCAACTGAATTGGGGAGGGGGGAGCGGTCCTGGCTTTCGAGGGGGTGCTTGCAAGGCACCATCGTTCCGTTTCCTGTCTCCCCCCCTCCCTCCCTTTAAACAGACCCTGGAATTTAAAAGCCATACTGCAAATCCCCACTTTTGGGAGGCCGGACACTTTACTTCGAACTCGTGCCTTCTGGTTTCAAGGGGAAGGAAGGAAGGGCTGGGATGGTTCCCGTCTCTGAAGGCAAAGCAGTTCCTCCAGCAAGCAAAGCCTAGAGCTGGGCTGCAGACCCTCCAACCACTTTTCAAGCAAGCCCCCTGGGACGTTCGTTCCCTGGATCCTTCTCAAGAGGCTGAACGGCCCCCCACCCTCACCCACCCCCCCCAGTGGAGGATTGCTTCGCTGTTTTGTTTACGCTGAATTTCCACTCGCCTCGTGTTCTCCACGGAGGATGGGATGTCCTCCTAATTTTGGAGATTTGTTCAAGAGAAATTTGCCACGTCAGGAAAACCTGGCTCAGTTTTCATCTTTTGTCTTATTCCGCGTGATTCCCCTGCCGTCTTATCACGGCCAGTTCATCTCGTGTCTTAAGAACGGAGGAGGGAGTCCTAAATAATCATGCGCACACTTGGGCAATTAACTGTAAGGAGACCGGCAGCGGGGGCGGCTTTGTGGCTGCCAAACTTGGTAGAGAATCTGGGCTCTCGTGGGGAGCACCCTGTGGGCTCCCATCCTTCCCTCTGCATCATTACTTTCAAATTACCTTCCCCCCCCCCCCTCCCTTCCTTCCCTCTCCCAAGAAGAGGCAGACTTGTTGAAGCCTCGTCGGTGTGATCTGGTCCAAAGTATTTGTGCAGTGGGATTGATTTCAAAACGTGAAATCGCCTTTTTTTGCAAAGGTGGGGAAAAACATCTCCGAAATGAAAGCGAATCTCAAGTGATTTTGGCCGGGAAGTTAATCTGCAGAATTCTACTCCACCACTTAATAAAACTTCCAATTTTATTTTGAGAGGCTGCATTCTTCTGTGCCGCTGACGTGTTCCTTTTCCTGCCAGAAGGGGTTAGAAACGACCCTTGATAGCGATTCAGGAAGAACTCCAGAGGGAAACCAAGTTGGCAAAGGAAAGAAACGCTTTTCCTTGGGATGGGGGGGGGGTGTCT